TGGTCTATTCTGTCTTCAGACCTGTGGTAGGACGTGCTGTCCTTTGCTGTTCCACTTGTAGCAGATGTCAGAGTTTTTCTAACAGGTACAGATTCCTATGCCTGATACTGGGGGGAAATCTTGGACTTGAGCTCCACTCTTATCTCTCTCAGTTATTTTTTGGTATTGCTGAAATGTAAATACATGCTGTCACCTCTAGCATGATAGCTGGCATCTGATAGGAACCCACTAAAAGTTAGGCTGTGAATGGTAGTGTAAGTTGCTACAGTATTTTTAGAGGGTAATTAGGCAGAATATTTCGGAATTTTAAGTTTGTATATGTTTCTTTGCAGCAATTCTAATTCTAGGAATTTAGATACAGTTGTATATATGGAGAAGGATGTTCACGTAGATGTCAGATTTTTTAACAGTTACACATTCCTATGCCTGATACTGGGGGGGAATCTTGGACTGGAGCTCCACTCTTATCTCTCTCAGTTATTTTTTGGTATTGCTAAAATGTAAATACATGCTGTCACCTCTAGCATGATAGCTGTCATCTGATAGGAACCCAGTAAAAGTTACGCGGTGAATGGCTGTGTAGGATGCTACAGTATTTTTAGAGGGTAATTAGGCAGAATATTTCGGAATTTCAAGTTTGTATATGTTTCATTGCAGCAATTCTAATTCTAGGAATTTAGATACAGTTGTATATATGGAGAAGGATGTTCACGTTGCAGCTTCGTCTGTAACAGAAGACCAAAACGACAACAACCTCAAAACAACTAAATGTCCATCAATATTAGACTGGTTCAATAAATTACGATACTTTGAATTATGTGACTTATTATCAATCAAATGCTGTACAGCCATTAAAAACAGAATGGATGTGCATATAAATTGACTGTGAACATCGGTGTTCGAGATGTATTGAATATGCACAGCATGCTGCTTTTGTATAAAACTATATGTGAAAGTAAAGAGACACAATATTCAAACTGTGAATGGAAGCACTTGGAAGCATCTGGGGGAACACACGAGGGACTGGTAGCAGGAGGACTTGGCTTTCCATCTCATCTCCTGTTTTGAACTCTGAAGGGCGCAGACACGAACTCATCGCCCTGTAGTACCGGCTGACGGCTAAGGAGGGCGCTGTAGCCAGCAAAGGCCTGTTTACAAACCAAGCGCCTCGGTAAGTGGCCTGGTGAGGCCGGCGAGACCGGCGGTGGCGCATGCGCAGCAGCGGGCGCCGGAGCGCGGCGTGTTTGCTGCGCAGGCGCCTTGGCTCTGGGAACTTGTTCTGTCACCGAGTGCGCCGGGCTGGCCGCTTTGACCCTCTTGGTATTGGGTGGGCGGCATCTCGGGTGGCTGGGGTCTGTGACGCCACTTTTCTGGACGCTCCTCGGCTAAGAAGGGCGCGGGCTTAAACCACGTCCCCGAAAGGTAATATGCGCCGGGGCTTGGGCATGGCCCTTCCAGCCGGTAGCGTCCGGGCCTGGGCTTCAGGTCTTGCAGTCGCCGCCTCTCACTGTCACTGCCGCGCGCTCGGCCCCTCCGCCCCTTCCGACCCTTGTCCCTTAGAGGCAGTGTCCCTCTCGCTGCCCCGCCCGCAGTCGCTGAAAGGGACAGTGTCTGTGATCTCCGCCCCACACCCCATTCTTTTAAAAGCGAGGCTCCAGCCATTGCTCGTCAGTGAGAAGGCGGAAGGACTGCTTTAAGGCGGAACTGTTAGTGTTCGGGACACTCCTCAGTTACCCAAATGGAACCTCCCTCAGTTCCCCAAGCTGTGTTATATTGGCACAGAGAAAGTGAGTAATGAGATAGAAGTTTGAGAAAAGGAACCCAGCAGTACCGCCCTGAGATCTTACATGGAAGGTAGGTT